GTAGTAGTAGGAGTAGTAGTAGTAGTCGTAGTTGCCGTAGTAGTAGTAGTAGGAGTAGGAGTAGGACTAGGAGTAGGAGTAGGAGTAGTAGTAGTAGTAGTAGTAGTAGTAGTAGTAGTCGTACTAGTAGTACTAGTAGTACTAGTAGTACTAGTAGTACTAGTAGTAGTAGTAGCAGTAGTAGTAGTCGTGGTGGTGGTAGTAGTAGTAGTAAGTAGCAGCTAGTAGCTAGGCAGCTACTGGCAGCGGGTAGTAGGGGCAGGAGCGGGCAAGAGTAACAGCAACAGAGCCGAAATGTTCCCTGGCTGTTCGTGGAAATGTGTGAGTAGATGCCACCAAGCGCTCTGGCACAGCTGTAAGTAACGTCGAGATTTCCCTTGCGTAACTGGAAGAAGCACTCCAAGGCTTTGGCTCCGAGCTCCCAACCAAGAGGTTGAAAGCTTCGACTGCTAAACAAGGAACCCCAAAATTCAGCCCTGGAAATCCATCGGCCGCATTTATGACGCCCCTTTGTTCACGTGGAGATCGTGGAGATCTCACATGAAGGACTCTCTGTGAAGGTGCTTGGACTGAGGACTGTGTAAGACTCTGCAGCGTAATATGTTCAACTTGGAGAGGTTTCGTCAACTACTACCACCGGTACTATGAGTATTATTTCGAGTATTACTACTACTGCTACTACTGCGACTGCTGCTACTACTACTACTACTGCTGCTGCTGCTGCTGCTACTACTACTACTACTACTGCTACTGCTACTGCTACTGCTACTGCTACTGCTACTCCTACTCGTGTTTCTACTCCTACTCCTCCTACTCCTACTCCTCCCGCTCCTTTTACTCCTCCTCCTCCTACTCCTCTACTACTACTACTACGACTAGTACGACTACGATGCGCGTAGCCCAGCGTAGGCTCATACAACAGGCATAAATCACAGCTCATTTGGCTCAGCGTCGAACGGCAGAACTCACGCCACAAGCTCCGTGATGGCTGGAGTGCAGACAGTCCGGTTGGCACCCGCGTTTATGGGAGAGCAGGCCACATACGGCCCCAGCTACCATGGTGGCCTCGCACCACCACCAGAGTGGTGGCTGCAGTTCGTCCACGTGTTCGCTCCATGCCAGCTGGCACAGCTGCAGCAGACCTACCACAATACCTGGGCTCAACCTTGCCACTGGCAAACGCGCCAGTCGACATACCCTGTCAACCCCATCCTGTATTACTTTACACCCACAGCTTTCACACATCAACCGCCGTTTTACCCGGCCTGTACTTCACTGCCACTTCACACCAACCAGCCTTTCCCCCAGCCCCCGGTTTCATATGCGCAGCCATCTCCGATCCAGCGCCCTGTTGCCACTCCCACACGACTATCCACACTGACCCCTGCAAAACCTTCCTGGGCAGACATGTCGGAGGAGGCTCCACCCAGCCAGATGGACGAATTGCCAACTCTGCTTCCCAAGCCCAACATGGGTAACGGGAAGGGCAAGGGCAAGTCCAAATCAAACAAGAAGCCAAAAGCCAGTGGCAAAGGCAACCACCATGGCAATGGCTTCAATCATTCCTGGAGCTACGGCTACTACGACTGGTATTGGCACTGAGAGACGGGTAGCAAGTGTTTCAGCAAGTTGTGTCACCTGCACGGCTTCTGCGCATGACTAAGTCAGTGCTGCTGCCCCTGCCACTGAAGGACGATCGATTGTTAAAGGTTTCCCGTTGCGGATTCCGTTCGTCGACCAACCGACCCACTGTTTGTGGACGCGAGAGGACAAGAGATGGGGTGACAAAGCCTCCCCCGAACGGATTTCTTCGATCGGCGAACGACCTGCTGCCTGCTTAGCAGCCACAAAAACAGCTGACATCTGCATTGTAGGGCAGGCTGAACTTACTCTTTGCCATTGCACGCAGTTGCGATTGGTATTGCTATTGACATGCAGGTGGCTTCGAGTCGGACGAAAAGCCGAGCCAGGCATTATGCTCACCATGTGCACGTCATGTCTGCACGGCTGACTACATGTTTGGGCAGAGGGGCTCGAGCGGACCCTGTTCTTCTTCTATGATGACATTCGCCATCGGTGGCAGGCACGTCCGTGCGTCGAAGTATCCATGGTATCCTGGACCTGTGCAGCGATGTACGCCGAAGCAGAAGCAGATGGCAGGTTGCTCCAGAAGTGGGTGCCAAGGGCTTGAGCGTGCTTGCCCGCAGCCCCGTGGGCTGGGATGAGGCGGGAGCCAACACTTCAGTGGCTTCAGTGGCCTTCACCGTCCCTTGAATGTTTTGCAGGTCTTCTCCCCGAACGGACCAGAGGCTGCCTTGACCAGGGCTGGGAAACCTACAACGAGACTGAGCTTTTCAGACCTTTCGAAGCTCACTGTCACTGAGGAAGTCGGCCCTCCCAGGCCATCGGGTTGCTGGCAGATCCGGGCTACCTTCTTACTATTGCAAGCGACACCGGCGAGCCAGCCATGCCATGGCATCCATGGCATGCCCACGGGTTTCTGGCAAGTCGCCGCGTCACTAAGCTCAACGAGCCTGCCCTGGCCATCCACTCGAGACGTTCCAAGCAAATGACGGAGATCCCGCAAGAGGCCCCCCGGCTATCGCCAGCTTGGCGAGCTTGAAGATGCCACGCGCGTTGCTCTCACGACAGGCATCACAACTCTTTCAGGACTGCGAGGCTCTCTCTGTCCCATCCTCGAAGCTGGGCCCGTGCCAAAACATACCGAAGTGGCATCATCCCATGAATCGTTTGCTAAGGTTCTTGCACTGGAAGACCGGGCACCCGCACGCACCGTCAGCTTCCAGTATGAAGGCATCAACCGCAGCTCTTGCCGCTGGCAAGACACTCTGTGTGTGTGTGTGACAGGGCCAGGTGAAGAGCTCCAGGCATGGGCATCATACAAGTCGCAAGAGTTTGATTCACACGCCTTGCGAACTGACCAATGTTTTGTTTGCGGCAGGTGCTTGCAGAGCATCCGCTGGCTGGAGATTTCAGATTGTTCAGCCCTTGGCCTTTCAGTTCCACCGTAACTTCAACCGTAATTTAATGGTTCTTTTTCTGTTGGGTGTGTTCCTGATGTGGATATGCACATAGTGTAAGTCGCCACCTTCCAGAAGCGATCATGAAGCTTGATCATTGCATGTTGCACAAAAGGACACTGGGGTGGAAAGGCATGCCTTCGCGAAAGCTTCACACTGGCCTGGAGTGAGTAAGTCTTGTTGTCGCATCTTTCTGCGTAACCCTGCAAGCAGACCAATGCAGGCGCTTGAAGCTCGAGCTAGATCGCTTGCGCTTTGTTACTCCATTGCCTCTGTCTGACACTGGAAACATGCTTCTTGCAGGTGCATGCATCTCTTGTTGAGTGCTAGCTGCTAGCAGTTTGCCAGGGAGCCCAATCTCTTCAGTTGGGGGCATGGGGTCTTGGGATGGTACATCGCGTCGGAATATGGTAGCGCACGGTGCATAATCAGGTTGAGATATGTCGCAGCCAACCCAAACTTCTGCGCAGGTCCCAAGAAAGTTCATTGCAAATGAAGTATTTCTATTTGGACAAGCGTCATGGAAGCTCAGCGTCGGGAAGTCCTGTAGCCAGTGTTGGTCCGACTTGCTGATGGCACCTTCACATGGGGACAGACACTGCGATGTGCTTGCGGTGTCATTCATTCAACAGTTCACCCCCATGCATTCGTTGGCACATGAGATCAGCATTCATCACACTTCATCATTCTTCAGCATTCTGCTTGCTGTACGACTTTACGATGCTTCACTTCAGAAAGCAGCAAGCAGAAAGTCACACCCTGAGGCTGCGACAGAGATACGGAAAGCGTCCCGCATACCCGGCAAGTATTTTTGAAAAATGGAGTCTGTCACTTGCCCAGACATTCGTGCAAGTACGACAGGTATATCGCCGCTCCGCTTTGCAGCCTTGTGGACCTGGGCCGAAGCCTTGCTGGAAGAACAGAAGAGAGAGGGGAAGATGCTGTTGAGGAAGTCCTTGTACAGGATATCTGTCAATCCGCAAGTGCAAGCGGACCTTTCGTAGGGCGATCGCCGTGCCGCGAGGACAGTCTGATATGCGGTCATTGCTCTGTCGAGCCTACACTCAGAAGTCTACTTGGTGAGTGTGTCTGAAGCACCCTTAGGCCAGGCTTGCCTGTCCAGCGCTGCACCAAGAAATTCAGGAATGGAGACGCGATCTGTCTGAATCGGAAGGGTCGTGAGATCGGGTGAACGAGGCCCGGCTTGTTTCTTTTCTTCGAACCACGGCTTGGATACTGGGTTGCCGGCTTCTCAGAAGGCTGGAGCCCAGCTGCTCTTCCAGCAGCGAGTGTAGCAGCGAGTCGCCTGTAAGGTCAGCACAATTTCGCCACTGGCTTCAAACCATGCTGTCGCGCACGAGCCTCAGAAGCCGCAGATCGAATCATTTTAAGCTGAGCCTGGTCACGACTCGCTGACTTCTTTCGATGCGACCTCAGGTTTGCCAGACCAGACCTGCCGGGTCGATTTGGACAGGCGAGGGCCCGGGGGGGCTCTGACCGCAGTCGAGCCACTTGCTGACGCTCACTCTCCGCTTGCTCCAGGTCCTGGCCAGGACCGGGCCTGACTGGACGCCCGTGCTGCCGCAGGACACATTTTTGCGTCCTTACGTGCTTGCCAAAATCGCCAGCTTGGATGTAGGGCTCTTGCACTCTGACACGTCCGTGTCGCAAGGACGCAAGGGACTGGGACGCAGCTGACAGCCAGGCAAGGCTCCGTCCATACTGCATGCCAGACTCAAGTTTAGGTTCGGCCGCCATCAGCCATGGGGAACCGTATCAGACCACAAACTTCGACCAACCTGAAAGGGCCCGGGTTCCCACTATCGGCTTGGGCCGGCAAGAGCGCCGGACTCAAGACGCTTTCAAGATTCTTTCAGCGGTTTCGTGCCGGCAGCTCTGTTTCACACGATCTTCTCAAGGCACCACCCAGCACACTGCTGTCGGAGCAGCTGATGCACCTCTGGCCGGTTACTTTTCTTGCACAAGCATCTCCTCAAGCGAATGGCTGAGTCATGGTATGGATCGAGAAGAGCTTTGCAGGGTTTGAACAACGCGCCAGGCCAACACCGTGGCTGCACTTGGTAGCCCTGGGCACCGACACACCTGCCAAGATGGTGTGCCTAAGTGGCTTCGGTGACAGGTACGGGATGGGCGCGTCAGGGCACCGATGCTGTTTTCACAGTACTCCACTGGACAGGTTGCATACTCTCAATGGCTCCTATGAGCTGCTCCCGGAGTCCGCGCCATGAGCTGAGTTTGCAGCCGTCCCTTTGCTTCATTGCTTTCACTTTCACTTCTCTTGACACGTGGCACTGCATGGCGTTTGGTGCATCCGACTGAGGTGGGCATCCAGAGCTGCATGGGCACGAGTGCAGGGAGCCTGACCATCGTGTCTGCATGGAACAGCTGGCATCCGTGAGTCCTGCCTGACTCGAGGCCGTCCACGGCGGAGGCACTGGTCGATCTGATTTCCCTCTAACCGTTCCGGATGTCCGTCTCGACATCAGGATGTGGAGTATCCCAAGTACATCTTCTTCTGGCCAGAGCAGCTCGAACGCGTTTCGCCAGAGAGTCACAGAAGCAGAGAGCAAGTGCAGGCAATTCAGCCAAGGACGGGTCATTGGATTATCGGTCCGGACCTGCACACAGCGCAGACAGGCCGCGACGGCGGAAGACGGCCGGCAGAGTCGGAGCCCGTCCTTGGCCTGACACAGGTCTTGCAAGAAATGGGCCAGGCCGATGGGCTGCTCAGTCTCCTGACCACTGTCCAGGCACGAAAAGAGAGATGTCGGGATTTATGTGTTTGCATACCTCAGTTGGATTTTGGTGTGGCACTTTCGAGTTGCGGTGGGAACGCTAGGCCTGCTAGGCCGTTGGGCCCCTTCTCGTTCACATTGTTGCATTGATTCTATTGTTCAATCCTGCATGAGTGGCCACGTGACAACAGGCTTCCTTGTTGAGATTTCGACGTGGTTGAATCTGCTGATCATACGATTGTGTTCTTCAAAGCAAGAGAGATCTCAACGAACTTATGCGTCACCGAGAAGACTTCACAGCAATATGGGCTCGTTTTGAGTAGAGACAAGTGGTTCGTATGAGGGCGCCATACAACTGCAAGATGGCATGTCCTGATGCAGAGAATATGAAGCTACTTACCTTGAAGACAAAAGTTAACCGGGAAGTCAGGTCTCTTGCCAAGATATCGAACAAGCTGAAAGAGGTAAGACACTTGGATCAAATTAAACCTGTATCGGAAAGCAACACAGAGCATGAAGACATGGAAACGGACTGCATGTGATGGCAGTATCCACAACAGGCTCTTTACGGTTTGGAAACAACTCACCTGATTATTCCCAAAGCCACACTGTTCAGAGGAGCGTTGCTCGCAAGATCTTGAACAAAGCTACCCCATTTGCAGACCGTACCAGCAAAAATTGAAGAAATATCTGTTACAGCTATAGCCTATCCAGGCAGAGGCGACCAACGTAAGAGTGTCATGTAGTGAATTCCGCAGAGACGACGCGCAAAGCTTTTCGGCAAGCAAGTCGATGTTGTAGTTCGAATCCATTAAGATAGGCATCATGTTTGCTTGAATGTGCATCTACAGTGGGATTCAGCATGGCGAGAAGCGAGTTGAGAATTACCACACCAAGGAATTTATGTGGGAAAGGTTTTTGGGAATAACATATACGCTGTTGCAACATCGTTTGCAGGGCGTCAGCCTTCTTTTGCTGCGTGCCGTGTTTCCTCTTTGACCTGCCGACCTGCCGTCGATACACTGTATGGCTTCGGAAGCTGTCGACGTGTCGTCAGCTCGTTGTCCCGAAAGGCCGATGGGCTGCCCTGAATGGTCAGCCAGTCAGCTTCCACGCGAACGACGCTTGGAGACGCGAGTGACTTGAAGAAGTTGCTCGCTCACTGAGGACATTCGTTTGCAGAAGACCCGAAGATCTTTTGTCGCAGGCAGAAGGCGTTCGGGATCGCACGTGCACACTCTGAGAAAGCATGTCTGGCACCAGAACCAGAGATGGAAGGCAAGCGGTGGAGTCGAAACCTTCGGCTTGTCGTGCATGGCCCTCTAGCTGGCCCACGTGCCGAGCGAGAAAGCTAAACTGAGAGATGACCTGAGGTCCCTCCTCCCCGCGGCAAAGCACCAGCCTCTGCAGATCGTGGAAGCAGCTAACAGGGGCATCCGAGAGGCAGCCTGAAAGCCTGCAGTCTAAGGCCTGGGACCGCGTGCAAAAGCCTTGCCGCTGTCCCCGAGAAGCACTCATAGGACACAGATTGAGATGCGGCCTTGTAAGTGCGATTCCGATGGTCTGCGTATTACGTATGTTTCACGCATGCATTGATCGCGAGAGTGACGGATTAGGATTTCGGTTTCCTGATCCAAACACTGTGGCTCCGGAGACATGTCTGCTTTGCAAAACTGACGGCATCGTTGGACTGACCTGCCAAGTGTCCTTCATCTGAAACAAAGAGCCGCGCACCAAACTGGGTTGGGGCGAAGTACATCACTCCATCTTGCGGACGTCCTGCTCGAGGTGTTTAAGGCTTTTGGACCTTCGTCGTCGGCACGTCTCTCGTGGCCGAGTCGTGCGAGGCTTCGTTTGGGTGGCAATGCATCTCCCTGGGCTCGTCGTTATGGATGCCTCATAGCGAGCGCCTGTACCGAGAACTGAAATATTTTACGCCTCGCAGACCTGCGGAAGCTTGTCGCGTTGTGTTTCGACTAAATCCAAGGCAACATAGAACAATTCACTGCGGGCTTAGATTGGATTCGTCTAACTCATGTTCGCACCGTGAAATTGATTGGTCGGAGCCTCTCGAGACTGGTAGCTGACGGCAGCTTTGCGACCAGACCATGGGCCACGAGTCTAGAACCAAAACTGGATCCATTTCGCGTTTGACATCGGAACTGCAAAACTATGTCCAGCATGGTTTGTCCCACGACCCTAGGGATGGCTGGTAGTGGGTCAACGGTTGCCCCAAGCCCCGACAAGCAGGAGCATACTCTCTCCAGCTTCGGAGGCGTGGACTTTGTCATGACGACCTGTGGGTGACAGAAGCAAGTTAGTGAGAGAGAAGTGATTGCAGCAGAGTAAACGTTCATGTTGCGTTTCTTCTAGCAGCGAAACAGCAACAACCAAGTTTTTGGCAAGACTGGAAGTTGCCTTCAATTTTTAAGAATGCGAAGGGAAACGTGCGCAGCAGTGACCGCGGGTAGGGGAAAAGCGGCGGCGCAGAGGTCTCGGGGGTTGAGACGGCTGACGGAAGCGAGCCCTCCGTGACAATCCCAAAGTGACCCTGATAGCCTTGAGATACAGTGGCTTTGGCAGAGCGTGTCCGCAAGGCGAATTCGCCCAGTCCATCACGGAACTTGCCATCCGGCCCGCCAAAGAGCGCAGAACTAATGTCTGCTGTGTGCCCATCTCCTGCAACTTTGCCACACCTTGACCATCTTCACCGGCTGTAAGGCGCGAGACGGCCTGACGGAACAATTTCCACTCCTACCCGCAAAGCAGGCAGTTGGCTAGCTAGCGGCATCTAGCTGCGTTAAACAGCCACTGAACAGGACGCTTCACAATTCGGTTCCAGTGAAGTATGCAGGTATGGAAGAGAACAAAGAAGGCACAAGTCCACAAGTCATGCAGCAGAAGGAAGTCAGGCCGGGGTCCTGCCTTTTGTTCCAGAACCTTGAAGTGAAGTGCTCCGAGCGCATGCTGAGGATGGAGCTGTCCAAAGAAGGCAGCTTGGGTACAGCGCGCACCCAAAGCTTCAAGCCGCCCATAAGACCTACCAGCCCTCGCAGCCGGCGGGGAGCAAGCCCATCACGAGCTGCAAGCCCGGCACGTGCTGAAAGGGGCATTGTTTGGCGACCTTGAGCTTAATTTACATGGATTGATCCCGCATGTCGGATCTCGTGGCCGAGCTCCATGTCAACCAGAGTAATCCACAGCACAAAGTTGACACAAGTAGCAAATCTCACTCCAGTCTTTGCCTTCGCTTGACATGCACGCTCGCATCGCTGGGCACAAGTCTGCGGCTGAATGCGACAAAGTGGCCTCAATCTCCCAAGAAACTTGGGAGGTTTCGGGCGATATCCCATTCCGCTCTGCTGATTTTAAGCACCTGATTGCGAGTTGTCAATGCGCCACAATGTTTCCAAACGGACCAAAAAACCCTCTGATGTCCCGAGCGCAGCTGCAGAATTGACGATATGAACATGAAAGTCACATGCGACGGGCATGCACTGATGGATCTTCCTACGTGGTCATTGGACATGCAAACGCTCAAGATGGTTCACGCAGTCGAGGAAGGCCGACATTGCTCCCCGCAGCCATATGGTTCGAGCCACGAGACAAGAGCAGGCAAACTTAACCTGAAGCTTATACAGAACCCCACACTGCAAGGCTATGCCAATCCAGATCAAGACGCGAACGCTCTCAAGTGGATGGCCGCGGGGTGCATCATTGGGGTGCATCATTGGAGAGAAATGTTTGAGCCGGAGGAGCCGGAGAACGGCCCTTAAGCTGGGGGAACAGGGACTGTGCAAGAAGCGCTGTCCCAGCATTCTGTTTTACTAAGGAGCAAAAATGAGAGTAAGATGTGGTACTCGCAGCTGGTAGGTTCGCACACGACAGACATGAGACCCCTGTGTGTGGGACATGGCCGCTGTGCCAGGCCCTTCTCTGAAGGACTTTGGAGAAGGCAAATGGAGGGCTGTCCTGGCCCTACGCTCCACTTCGAGGTGTCAGAGTCGAAAAAGCTCCTACTGCAGGTCGTGCCAGTTGACAACATCCTGTGCTGTCCACCGTGGCACAGGGCCAAGACGCGATGTGAAACTCCCGTGCTTGCAATTTTCCAAGCGTTTCATCAAAGGAACGCAACTCATGTGCTCCGGATAAATACCACCGATCCGGAGCAGCTCCAAATAGAGGCAACAGGCCAGTGGTGCCTTCTCGCAGCATGCTCCAAGCGCCCTGACACAGGGTTTCGCACATAATTGGCAGGCTGCGACCTGGGAAGTGGAAAAGGCAAGTGGAAGTCAGTGACTCATGATGGCTGCATGACGATGTGTAGTCGCAGATTCTATTGGGCCTCGTGTCGTGAAGGATACTGTGACAGAGACAAGTAAGGTCAGGCGTGCTTGGTGCCGACGGCAACATCTATTGTCCGCCTTGGTGAGCCGTGCCTGTGACACTGAGTGATGTACTCTCGGGATTTGCTGGCTATGCTAGCTGCAAGCTTCAGATGGTACACACGGCCGGGAGTGCAGCCGTTCCTGCTCCAAGTCTTACGGTAGACAACTCTCAACGCCATGGCAGAGGCGGTTTGTGTCTGCACTGAAGATGTTGATCGCGACAAGGTTGCCCAATAATTGACCGTCAGGTGATGGAGGGCGCTGCTGCCGAGACCCTTGGTGTTGCGGCGTGCTGTGCAAGCTGCTGCAGCTGCTGCTGTGGAGGTGATGGGCTAGCAAGGTGCTGTGACCGGTATCTTCGGGGCATGTACGGTCGAACTGGGAGGTAGCCCGGAAGAGACCTGTGGATTGTGCTGCGCTGGCTGCAGCCTCGAAGCTTTGGGCTGCGCGGGCTGCTGTGATGCCTGCTGCTGCTGTGGAGGCCTGTGATACCTAATCCTAGCTTGCGTATTCTTGCGTCGCTTTGTCGACTGGTGCGACGTGCCTGTCTGGGCAGGCGCAGATGACCCAGGCACTGTCATCCAACCGCAATCTCCACTGCCAATGTGCAGCCAGCACGAAGACGAGCACAGACACTCTTGTCGGTCAGGATGTTGCACTCTGGCTTTGGACACATGCGGGCTGCTGGCGTGCTGCGAGATGCTTGGCTGCGTGGCTTGCTCTCCGGCTGATTTGTCAGAGAGTTGCCTCCACGTCCTACCTTGAATAGTGGTGCGATGCGTGACTGTGTGCCCTGGGATGAGCCAACGCAGGCTTTAGCTGCTGCTTCCCATGCTGCTTCCGACAGAAGAAGGACTTACAGCAAAACCATGCAGAATCAAAAGCTGTAGGGTTCGCATGGGGTAGGCTGTCTGCGGGATTTGCAAGCATTCTCAGACAGGACCCACAAGTCGTGATTGCGCAAGGCCCTGTCATGTACCCTGCAACCTGGCTAAATCATGACAGAAGTAAGCAGCAGCAAGTCCGTTCGACATACTTCAGCACCAGGCAAACTTCACCCCGGAGCAGATGGCCATGGGACCACCAAGAATGATGTATCCGTCCGGGCCATGGCATGCCAGTGCTTAGACAAACACATGGTCTGCACTGTGCTCAGGCCACAGCCTCAAATGATGGGCTATCCTCAAGCACAGGGTTATCAGTACTAGGCACCATGCCGTTGTTGGCCTGGAAGCCTAGAGCTGACTTGAGACGTGCCTTCTGGCAAGCTTTTGCCTCACAGCAGAGGAGCGACTTGTAGAGAGAGATGACACATTGCCGGGAACTTGGCCGATGTGCCAAAACGCATCTGATCTTCTTTGGAGGATATGAGCCCCCTGCGTGTTTTGTACAGGAGGGGCAGTTCCGACTGCAAAGCCCCCTCACACCTCGGGCATGTACAGATGCCTTCAGAAATTAACTTTCAACCAACGGGTTGATCACAGTGCCCTGCTTCTGTCTAAAGAATAAAAGCTTGCCGGGCCACTCCGCCAATCTCCGACAATGCATTTGTTCCCAAGCGTAGGCAAAGCGTCCTAGAATTCTAAACTGGTGGTCAGCTTCGGCAGTTCGCACGCAATGCGCTGATCTAGACAAAGACGTCAGTGTGACACGTTCACAGAGGGTACAAGTACGCTAGTGCGACCTGCATCCATCGCGGCAGGTTTGCTTCACGAGTTCTGCGAATCGACCCGTATGCAGACATCTCGGCAGCCCGTTCTGTCTGTGCCAAGCTTTGTCAGACTTCACCCGGCAATCTCCGCAGGTTGGGACATCGGAGCTCATTGGTCCTGAGTTTACGCTACCGGATCCAGTCAAACTGGCTCAGGCAGGGTAAGCATGGAGCTGCTGATAGCCTGCGGGCGGCCATTTTGCCAAAGGATTTTGGCGACAGCATCGGTGATGGTGATGGCGACGTGTCTGACGAAAGCTGGGGACGTCGCCTGAGCATGGCGACCAAGCGTAGTGGCGTGACAGTGGGTGCGTCCCTGATCTCAAGGAAAGTGGATGGATGGGACTCTTGCGGCTAATGGTTGCCTGTATTGTCAGCCATGGCCATGACCTTAGCTAGTGATGCTCGCTACATGCATTAATTCAAACCCAAGGTGCGCAAGCCACGTGCTCAAGATCGACACTCGAAATGGATCTGTGGAACTGATAGGTCTTCTCCTCACCCGCGCGGAATCGTGCAAACATTGACGACACTTTGCATCTGCAAACTCGCCAGTAGCAAGTCGGCATGTGAAGCCGTTTGCGAACGGATACCTTCCCAGGCCCTGACCTGGGCTGGGCTCCAGACAAGTATCGCGCTGCGGTGGTGGCCACTGATGGAGCTGCTCATCCGAATTATTCGGGGGGTTGTCTAATTCAATCCACGTGAATTGAGTTGCAAGCTGCGGTAGACGATGCCATGCTGCATGACTCCCTGCACGCTTGTTGCAGGTCATCTACTGTCCACCACATTCGGTGATGAGCTGAGTATGGTCTTGCGGCAGCGAGACACCTGCAAATCTTCAATGCAGAACCAAATTTGCGACATGTACACAAGTCAGCAAGACTTGGTACGGTCGTTTTGCAACAGCATGCTGTGGCCTGACAGCGGGGATGCACCATGGGCAGTCGAGTTTCTGGTGCCCTCCTGGCAGGGCGACGTTCTAACCCAGGTTCAACTTGCTTCGAACCCGGGTTCAAACCCTGGGTTCAACCCCGACCCCAAACCTTCGCCGGAGGGGGTTAAACTCAAACCCAAACCTTTCCGCCCCTCGCTCCAGGGTTTGGGTTTGGATTCAACCCGAACCCGAACCGGTGGGAAGGTTTGGGTTTGTGTCCTTGAAATCGTCATCTTGCGAGTTGACGAACAGCTGCACTTCTGAAATCCCGGGTCCAAGGCAATCAAGAGCGACCTGTAAACCCAGTCACTGACACAACAGCATGCAAGTCCCGGCGACAGCCCAGAGCATGCAAGCAACAGCAAACAGCAACAGCAACAACAAGACTAGCAAACACGAAGAAAGGGCAAGAAGTGGCTGAAATTCGGAAAGTGGGTGAAACTTACGCAACATTCATTCATGCGAATGACTTGCCAGCCATGATACGAAAAGCCGTGGTTGCATTTGCTCAGCCACCAACTTCTTTCTTGAGGATAGGGGTGCTTCCCAAAGAGGGCCTTCTGGCACTTGTGGGGAGCATTGGGAAACATACCCAATCATTCCAAATCATCCAAGAACATTCAAGCACATAGATTTGATTTTTTGAGTTTGGTGGTTTTTGTATTTTAGGTATTTTGTTGATTATTTTGTTTTCTGATCTTCTGTGTATTATCATGAGTGTTTCTGAATGTTTCTGAATGATTATGTATTTTTCGTATTTCCTGTATGTTTTCTTGGTACGATGGCAGAATTTGTGCATGGCTTTTGGGGCCCTGCACTGCCCATACCCTAAAACCCAAACCGAAAAGAAGGAGTTGAATTAAAACGAACTTTATCGTATGATTTCGCGGGCTTGTATATGTTTCTGCATGAACGCCTCCACTCACACGCCGATGAGGCTTCTCTGGCCTCCGAGTGGTGCGCTCGTGCACGGTGGAGCTCTCCTAGAACCTGCCCCCTCTGTCAGGCAGGGCCTGGCACACCGCGACATGTCGTCATGTCATGTCCAGCCATGTCGCCTTTGGTGGACCAACTGCGCGACGACATGGAACTA